CCCCCCCCCCCCCCCCCCCCCCCGAATCTGACTGAATGGGCTATTTCTCCAAACAACATGTTTGGGATTATGAAGCTTTTAATTACAAGAATAAGCAGTGACTGCATAGAGAAAACTCTCATCATCATTGGATAAAATCTTTGGAATTTTCTGCTAAATAAATTCCAAAAGATTCGCTCCCCCTCCCGCCCCCCTGCCAAATGAAGCGATGTTTCTTTTTACCATGCTTTTATTTTCCTATACAGTTTTACTCTACTTTTGCTTTCTTTTCTATAGTAACATCATTGTTCATTTAGATTTAATAACAAGTAAACAAAAGTGTACATTAAACCTCTTAAGGGTTCTATTGTGAGATTCTGTAATTCTTTGGTTATAAGGAAAAAGACAGTATTGGTTTTAATTTAAAAGAAGAAATTTTCAGTGGTTTTGGTTATAGTGATCACCTCTATGTACTTAAATGGTTTGAGATTGTGATTTTTCTTTTTTTAAATTATTTTATACTTTATGTTGGAAATTTCAGCAGTCATCATTTTTAGTATATGATACTTGTGTGTTGGATTATGTTTATTCTTCTAGATTTTGCTAGAAGGGCCTGGCACCTTGAAATTCAGTAACTTTTGCTTGGCTAAAGTGGATGGTGAAAACTTGGAAGAATTTTTTGCTTTAGTTGGATCTGAAGAAGGTGAAGGAGATGTCAATGAAAGCACTCCACAAAGATTCCTGAAAAATAGATTTCGAGGTATGATATTTTTACTAGCCAAAATAAACTTATACCAAAGGGACAGAATGAAAGTTGCAAAAAGCCTTTGTTTGAAGTAATTTGGAGAGAAGACCTTGAAATAAAATAGTTGTTTATTGTTCTGTTGAGGCTGACTAAATTTCTAGAGAAACTGAATAATTATTCTGTTGTGTTATCATTTGTAAATATTAATGTATTTGCCTGTGTCTTTGCAACAGAAAGCATGATCTGTACATTTTCTGTAAGCAGTTTTAACATATCCTGCATATGGGGAATTTTTTAAGTAAGCTCAAAACCAAAACTTAGCTTTTAAGGAAGATTGTTCAGAGACATCATAACTTACAGAGGGAACAACACCTGCAAGTGAGTAGGAAGAAAAGAAACTGGATTTACAAATATATGGTAATAATTCTAAGTTTCACAAAGCCAGTTTAACTAAGAGCTGGAAAAAATATACTTCTGTCTGTTGTAAAATGTATGACATATTAACAATTCTTGACCTTTCCTGCTTTTTGTAAATAGACGTCAGGTTATTTTTGGATTGAAGCTCATATGTAGGTGATTATAGACTGTACTATACTTGTATAACAAACTTTCAACATAATGTAAGTGGAGGTGGCTTATTTTAAATGTCTTTTTGGAGCTTGACATCAAATCCCTACAGTACAGTTTAATGTACAAGCTGTCTGTCTATCCTGAGCATGATTTCTCTATTTTATAAACTGTTCTTGATTATTTTTCTTTGTAGAAAAAAAAAAAGCAGAAGCAAAATTTCAAGAATTTAAAAAAAAACCCCAAACCCCAAAACAAAAAACCAAAACCCCAAATTGAGTGTACGAATGAGATCTGAAATGTTTCAAGGTAGCTAATTAGTTAAAAATATTAGTTCTTGGTTTGAATTTGCTGAGGAGGCTTAATTATTTATTGCTATTTGATGAAAACTCTGGTGGGTAGAAAAATCTGTGAAATACCTTTGGTCCTTGATGGATTTCACATATCATCAACTAAGTATAAGTAGTAGATTTAGAAGAATGAGAAGATCACTAAAACTTTGGAATTCCAGAGTTCAAACTGGAACTGGCTTTTCTAACTGATGGAATTGTATTTCTGGTATTTAGTTGATATAGAACAGTGTATTTTACTCAAAAAAAAAAAAAAAAGTTTGAAGGAAGTAGTAAAAAGAATCACTTATTTCCAACCTTTTGTGCTCCAGTTATAAAGTAGCAATTGGAGAATGAAGAAATAACTGATATTGGAAGTATGATAAAGAAAAGAAGTTATTTAAAATTAATCCTGTTTTGTCTCAAAAGTTTGAGCTATGGAATTATTTATGGACTTTTAAAAGGTCTGTGCTGCAGATGTTCTCTATGAGGTGTAGGACTAAATTCTGTTAACAAAATTCAGTAAATACTACACAGAACTGCTGCTTCTTTCATTGGAGACTTTGCACTACTGTACTTTCATTGTCCTTTTTGATGCGAATAGTCCAAGTGATCTCTAGTCTTAGGCTTGACTGTTTCAGTGCTTTTTACTTAAGAATGATCATTTGTTTTTAAAGTGTGAGGCTACTGTGCTTTCGTTTCAACAGGCAGATCCATGCAAATGCAGTAGGCTGCAAATACTATGCTATTTTTTCACTGAATAAGAATTCGGAAACTTGGTTTTAATCTTCTAAATCTTTCATTAGTCAGCATCTCACAGACCTCTATTTCCAAGATAATGATGTGTCATAGCAGTTACTGTTATTAGGAACAATGGAATTCTTGGCAATATTTTATGGGAACAAAGAGAGCTTTCTTAAGACTTTG